AGCGGAAATATAAGATGGAGATAAGATATGGGAGAGGAAATTGAAGGCATTGCAAAAATGAGTTTTTAGGTTAGGAAGTGGTTAGTTTTTTTTTATTTTGAGTTGGTTAGGTGAGTATTATTAACAGAAAAATAATTTTATGAGTTTAGACCGTTGTTGTGGACATATAACACACTTTAATATATTCGATAGATATTTGAATATTGTTTACACAAATTTGAAAGTAATTGACATTCATTGCGTGTACTGGCACTGGTATGTTGTTTAACAATTTAATATTAAATCAATCGGGCGCGTGCGCAATTAAAATTCCAATTAATCACCGTGTTTTTCAATTAAGTTCGCCACCATCGCCGCATGCGCTTGTTTTGTGTTTATGTTGATTCGCATTTGTTTATTTTTGTGTCTACCCCGTCGTTTCAATTTACATTCGCGTTTCTGTTTGCATTCATTCGCGTATTGCGATTTGCATACGTTCGCACATAACCTCAAACTAAATTCCTGGTCATGTAGAACATTTATATGTAAATTTGTTTTCAATTACATTAAAAAAAAGAAAGTAGGAATAATGATTTAATGAGTGGATCAATTTTTAAAAACTAATTAAGTTGAATATTTTTTAGCGGTTGTAATTTAACTTTGATTATAATAGAGCAAAAGGGGTTTTATAAGTGGGTAAAGTTTGTGTTGTGGGCGCTTTGCAGTTCCTTCGTCCTTGCTCCTGGCGAGAATGAAAGCTTTGCGTAAAAAAGACCGCGCGCAAGGGTTAATTTTGTTTAATTACTTTACTGCCAAAACCAACGAAACTAGTGCACTTGCACAAAGTATAGGCAACCAAATTTACATAACCATTTGACTATATACAAAATATACAAGAATATTGTGTAAAAGGCAATATTTTTTTTTATAAACAAAAGAATTCTTTTCGTCATTAAATAAAAAGCTCACTCAGTTTCAGACTGCGAGCTTTAAGCGAGAAAACAGCGAAAATTTGTGGTTTGGAAAATTGCAATCCGGCAAAGTCGCCATAAAATTTCTATTAACATCGCAGCGTTTACCCAGCACTAAAAACACACACAGTTTTATGTGAATAGAAAAACATAACCTAAAAAAAACTCATTCAAAGTTATATTTGCAGTTTGTGAATGTGACACTAAGCAAACAGAATGTATGCAAGCAAGTATGTTGACTTTCTCGGCATGAAACAGTGTATAGGCAACTTATTTTACTTCGTAAAAATCAAAAGTGTGTTTTTGATTGCTTAGAGTTAATTTTTTTTTTCCGTCATCAAATTCATCCACAGCTAAAATTCAGCATTCTGGAACTAGGTCGTGCGCAGCCACCACCACTGCCGCCACCGGAGGGCGGCAAGAAATAAGCGAGCGCCGTACTGGAACAAAGCGCTGAAAACGTGCAAGGACGAGCACAATGCTTAGACCGAGATCAACAAGTACACCTACACATAACTCATCTCGTATGGGCTATGACACATACATTACTATCATCACAAAACCCTCAACTACGCTTAATAAAAAATAAAACTAAAAATAAAATAAAACTAACGCTTAACACCATCAAATATAAAATATTTCAATTGAATGTGAGGTTATGCATTATAAAACAGCGCCATCTGTTTGGTGAAAGTTGAAAAATTACATTAAAAATGTATTTCGATATTTTCCGTTTTCTTTTTGATGTATTTTTATGAAAACTGAATTTTTTATTCACGTTTTCGTATTTGGCGTGTTTTTTATTTGACTTAGATATTCCATTTTAAGTTTAATTTAATTTAATCCTGAATTCTGGCGCGGTGGTTAGACTGTTGACTGTGTAGGCAGGGTGGAAGATTAAGGGTCGCCGGCTAAGGGCTGCGGACATAATTTATATCTTTGTTATGACGTTTAAACATCATTTATTTCAATGAGTTTTTGTTTGAATTACGTGCCCGTAATAATATTGGATTTTCGACTTTGGTTTCTCGTTCTTTGTGTTTTAACTTTTAATTGTTTGTTTTTATTAATTTTTATTCATTCAATATAAAATCTTTTTGTTTAAATTTGTCAGATGGCGCTGGCATCAATTATTTCAAGTGTGTTTTTGGTTGCCTAACTAAAAAAAAGTGTATTGGTGAATGTTTTGAAAGTTTTGTTAAACAAATGCAACGTGGGGATAAATATTGAGAATATAAACATTACCCGACCATTATTTCAAGTGTTGAGAAAATAAATCAGTGTTATAACAATAGTACAACGGACTCTGATTGTAAGTAATAGAAAAATTAGAAACAACTGAGTTTAAACTTATTATAACCTTAAATTTTTAGTTATACATATATGAGTAAAAATATCAAACTACATGAAAATTAGTAACAATTATAAAGGAAAAAAAGTATTATCAACATTATTTATAAATTATTATCTCGATATTTTTATTTTATTCTATAGAGGACTCTTGCATCAGGAATTTCAGGTGTATCTTTGGATGTCTAACGTTAAAAAGAAATAAACTGGACATAAATCAAAAGTTTTGTTTAAAAAATGCAATGTGCGGATAAATATTGAGAACATAAACATTACCTAATCATTCTTTCAAGTGTTGCGTGTATAAATCAATGTCGTAACAGTAAGAGAATAGACTTTGATTGAATATAATAGGCAAAGTCATTATAACCTCAATTATTTTAGATTTTTATAGAAAAGCTCATCACATAAACTCAAACAAATTATAATAGCATCAAAAACGGAGAAATTATTAAATCAAGCACTGGATTTACATAAATATACTTGCTTTTGCACACGATTTCGTCCCGGTAGTGTAAAATAAAAATGTAATTTGTTTTTTACTCTCTTCTTCTATACTTAGTATGTGTCAATTCTGTCAATAAGATTTGCAATTTTATTATAAAGAAATTAATTATATAAAGAATTGCTAATAATGCACTTCGGCGCGCCATCTCGGATTCAACTATTTAACTATAACTATGATTGAATCCCAATGTCAACTTTTATCCTATAGAAAAAGGCTGTCTTTAGGGTTTTCTCGGCAATTATTCGAATTTTTCTCGCCGTAAAAACCATCTATGAACTTTAACGAACATTTTAAAAAAGAATTGGTCAAATTGGTCTTGGCGTTGTTGAGTTATGCGCTTACCAACAGATTTTGCGATTTATTTTTATATTATAGATATTGTAGAACGCTACTAAAAGGAAAGTCAAAGCAATTTGCTTAGATATCTGGTTACTAACAGTGTTACCATGATAAACTTGTAGGTTGTAACCAAATCTGAGATTTGGTTATTATTATCTTATTTTACATATTTTAGTAATTTGATCAATATTGTGTTTATAATTTATAGCAATTTAGATGAAAATGAAATTTAATACAAGCATCAATCGTGGCTGAATAATGCTTATTCAAGGGTGATATGTTTATAATAATATTGCAGCTAAACTCTAGTATTATTCTTAGTAATTACAACAATAACACTGCTACTTGCAAACTATATGAACTATTTTTTATTGCAATTACTCTTAAATCTTGTTTTGGATTGTTTAATATAACATATATAACATCCTAAGTAATATTAATAATCGAATATGAGTTTGTTTGTTTGTTTGTTTGTTACTCTTTCACGCGAGAACCACTCAATAGATTTTGATAAAATTCAGGATAAAGATATTTTTAATTATGGAAAAGCAAATAGACTATTTTTTGTCGCAAAAATATAATATACAAGGTGTAAAATAAGGAATAAAAATTAATATAAAGATCTAATCATATTTATAGTTACCTAATTCGAATGTAGATGGCGTATAAGTGCATTAATATCATTTTCCTTCATTTTACATTAAAATTAAGAATATTAATAACAGATTCAACACATAATAGATCCATAAAACACAAAACAAATTATTTTACCTACTACTTATTAAACTCTTCGTATTTATAACCTCTAATATTCATAATCATACATAACCAATACCAATACTAATTGAAATCTTTTGTTTCTAGTTGTTTTTCGATCGAAACTCGTTATTCCGGCATTATGGGCGTTATGACATGCCCGACATCCGATAATGGCCTCCTACAAGAAGTAATATTTATGTGACACTTGTGAATTGCGAGCCTGGCAAACTTCCCGATGCTTTCCGACGTTTTCTTACGCCACAAATCAAATTAACATTTACGAATACCGCCGTTCTTCAAACGCGAGCGCCGAAGAATCGGATTCAATTAAATTGATTTAGCACCGCGCGCTGGCTGTTATTCATGAAGATTTCACATTTAAATCTGTTTACACTGAATATAATATTAGGCATTACAATCCATACTATATAACACTTATTATTTCAGACGTGTATTTTGGGTTGCATATATTAAATTTAAATATTTCAAGTTACAAGCGTATCAGAAGAGAAAAATATGTTATAAAAAGACATATTTAATAGAATATAACACAAACATGATTTAAATAATCGTATAAATTAATAAATCATTATTTGGGCAAAATTATATCCATAATTACACATAAAAAACATGTAATTTCTTTAAAAATCGCTTCCAAATGAAAATTATTTGTTATTGTCAGCAATTCTCCTATATTACACTTATACTTGTTTAGCTGCAACTCGCAAGCCTCCATTTTCCATTTTCACTCCACGTTTATCGTTCTGCCCGGTTTCACTCACTGCGCCCGCTTGCCTCCACATTCTATTGTCGACGGATATTGGTATGATGTATATCAATATGTCACTGTATCAGTATGAGCTTTTAAGTATGAGCTTTTCGCTCGTACTCGTGTATATTATTCCAGCGCTCGTTTGCGCATTCACGTCCCAGCCGGACGATGATTTATCGACGCTGATTGATAATATCCAATAATAAAGCGTAATAACGCGCAATAAAGCCTGTGACGTCGTTTTATTCAAACACACACACAATGCGACGCTTATAATACAAAATGTCTCAAAAGTGTGGTTAAAATGTAGTATTATACGCACCTAATGTTGCCGAACATGTTTCAGAAGGAATCTCCTTGCGCGATGTGCGTTCCTCGTCTTATTCCTGTATTTTTATGTCAATTCACCAACAAATTTATTTACAATTGTTTAAATTTGATTATTTATTGGTCCATGATTTATTTTAAATCACTTTTATTTGTTAAGGATGAAAAAATAAGAATTTTATAATAGTGGTAATTTAATGTAGGCGATGATTGTCATTGGGTGAAATGTGCGAAATGAAATTTTGTAAAGTTAGGCGCTGATGAAGTCATAAATTAGTTCCGCGCGAAGATCGTGTGTGCGATTCGTGCTCGCGACTGTTGCGCTCACGTGCAGTGGCGTGTCGCGCGACGGCCGGCCGACTGCGCGCTCCACATTCGCGCCAAGGATGCTGCAGTCCTGCCGCCGCCGCCGCCACCGCCGCCACGCGGTTATCGATTCGCCGTCCTCGTCCCGTGCGTGCGTTTTCATTGAAAAACGCGCGCCTACGAGAGTTGAGTATGCTTATAGCGTCCAGGATTCAGTTCGTCCTGTATGTGTATACTGTAGTAGCAAACGCGGAGGCGGCGGAGGCGTCACAGACGCTAGATCCGTGCCTATCCGCAGTATACTCGCTCTTTGTTTCGGTTCCATTCACATTGCGTGTGGGAGGCAGACGCGATGGGATTGTTGCTTCACCCGGGCAAAACGCCGAGTCGCGGCGACAACGCACGAGTGTAAAATCCTCTACAGGATCAAATTCACACTGGTATTTTACAACTCGCACGCTGCGAACGCGGATTTAATCATTTTATTAAAAAATATTTTTTTGTTTTTTTTAATAATTTAAAATTAATATTTTCATTTTTGATCTGTGAGTAAGATTTATATTGACAGTTTGAAAATGTCATCTCTCAGTATAGAAATGTGTCTAGAAATGTCTTTTTTTGTTTTGAAAATTTATGTTTTGTTTGATTTTGCAATTGTGTCCTTTTTTGAGCTTCACAAAGCTTTGAGCATTCAAACGAAAGAAAAACATCGTTGTATAAATCGCAAAATCTGTTGGTAAGCGCATAACTCAACAACGCCTAGACCAATTTGCCCAATTCTTTCTTTAAAATGTTTGTTAACGTCCAAGGATGGTTTTTACATCGAGAAAATTAGAATAATTGCCTGGAAAACCCTAAAAACAGCCTTTTTCTATAAGATAAAAGTTGGCATTGAGATTCAATCATAGTTATAGTTAAATAGTTGAATCCGAGATGGCGCGCTGAAGTGCATTATTCAATTCTTTATATAATTAATTTCTATAAAATAAAATTGCGAATCTTATTGATAGAATAGACACATACTATGTCTAGAACAAGAGAGTAAAAACAAATTACATTTTTATTAAAGACTACCGGGACAAAGTCGCGGGCAGTTAGGTTAGAATATGAAAAATGTTCAATGAGTTGAGTTGCAGTACAAGTATCAAACGCGTCTGGGTAAAATATTACATGAAACAAGTTTTTATTATTAATAAATGTACATGGTGATTGAAAAAACATGTACGAGTAATAAAAGAAAAAATTTATTTCAGTTTGTGTATTTTTATTGTTTTTATTCCACTCGTGAGGCAGCAGCAGTTTTAATTTGTAACACCGCCGGCAAATGTAATGCATGATAAATAAAAACGTTGTGCGCACTTGAACGCGTCCGAAATGTGCTTGTATGCACGCTCGAGTTGGCAGACAATTGGATAATGCATAAAAATGATATTTTAAGAGGTGATAAATGTCTGCAACGCGTGAATAAATGTTAGAAACCAAGATCTGTGCAATAATCATCGTTGCAAATCATTAGAATCAGTCATAAATTAAAATTATTTTGAAATTTAATTAATTTTATTAATTAATTGCACATTTAATACTTTTTTACTGCTAAAACACTGGTAAATATTCTATTAAGTCATTTAATCGAATTATTTTGTAAAACGTTTAATATTATTGATTTGAATGTGATTTAGAATATTAGAGGCTTTAACCTAAACGTATAGATATAATACAAATGTTAGATTAAAGCATAATTTTCTAGGTTAAATGTTTTATTTGTAAGAAATTTAATAATTTTTAAGAAGCACTTGGAATTGTCATTAAGTTATGTTTAAGTTTTGCGGAATTAGAATTGCACATACGTACATAGTTACACCAAAATCATAGTTTTGATGTAGGCATTCAAAAATACGAAACGTTGCTGAGTTGGTTGCCTATAATGAAATCATGTCGCAAGCTTATTTCGGGTGGATGCAGAGGAATACACAAAATAAGCATAACAGATGTAGTAATAATATATTTAAATCAAAGAAAACGTTATCATTGGTAAAGATTAGTGTATTATAATTTGTCAAAAGTAGTAGTTTTCTTCTTTACTATAACCACTACATCGTAGGATTTGCAGTTTTATCGTTATTTCCCTGTAAGTCATTCCGTCTGTGTCGCTTTCCGCGCCATTCTACCTCGCACACTGTACTTTAGATGGCTCTGCTCAATTTGAGTGAGTTTAGTTATCTCTAGACATTCTCTGAAGAGAGACAGATTTACTATCTTCTGTTTAATAGACCTACTATAACATCTTTATCATTTTCGTAAAATAGAGATTTCGTCTCGGTAGTGTTTAATAAAACTGTAATTTGTTTTTACTCTTTTGTTCTAGACATAGTATGTGTCAATTCTATCAATAAAATTCGCAATTTTATTTTAAAGAAATTAATTATATAAAGAATTGCTAATAATGCACTTCAGCGCGCCATCTTGGATTCAACTATTTAACTATAACTATGATTGAATCTCAATGCCAAGTTTTATTCTATAGAAAAAGGCTGTCTTTAGGGTTTTCCCAGCAATTATTTGAATTATTCTCGCCATAAAAACCATCCTTGGACTTTAACAAACATTTTAAAGAAAGAATTGGGCAAATTGGTTTAAGCGTTGTTGAGTTATGCGCTTACCAACAGATTTTGCGATTCATTTTTATATTATAGATTGTACGTGACTTGAAGCACATTTGTTTTGAGTATACTCGAGAACATCGTTAGTAACTAATTTTGAAATTTGGAATTTTGGAGATTATAGTGAAGTGTTTTGCGTTATTTGAGTGTTTGTTATCGTATATCATGTGTTGTGAAATGTGTAGATTGTTGAGTGGTGTGAATATGATGTCGTGGATTGAATGTATTTGTTCGTTTATTAAATTGTGTTTAATTTTGTATTTTAGACTTTAATCTTGTTAATATTTTATCTACTGTGTTTGTGGCTATGCTTCGTATGTGTTTGGCGTAGTGAGAATGATGTGTGTGTGGTTTAGAATTATTTGATATCCATTTTCTATTTAAATTTTTATGATTTTGTTTTATTCTGTGTTGTAGTGTATGTGATTCATTGGTGTGTTTAGTAATTGGTTGAAGCAATATGAGAAGTAGGCATTTTTGTATCAGCTATCATCTAACCTTAATCTAAAGTTTCAACAAATCTTAAACAATAAAAGAGTATCACATAACCAATTCCTTTTTCGTAAATGTTAAAAATTTAATTTTTGATCTAATAGACGGCTAGGATTGAAATGTTAGTGTTTAAATATTAATAATTTTTAAGTATGACGAGTAGCTAACGATCGAAACTTATGAATTCACTTTTTCATATAAACTCACATTTATCAAAGTCGATTTAGCGCTACATGTGTACATGATACGTCTTTAACTTTTATTTACCAAGATACTATTGGTTGTGACACATTTACCGTCTTCGCACTTTTACCGTAACATATATAAAATGTAGTCGTTTGAGTTAAACAATTTATAATTCTCTAACGGCTGGACAAATATTTAATATTTTTGTGTTTTTGGATTTGTCCTTGACGGGAATAGGATAAGAAGTATTAAAATATCAAAAATAGTTATTTCAAGGGTGTTAAATTAAAGAATGCAAATTGATATACAGATTCAATTATAGTTTTAGTTTAACAATGCACTCACTGATGGCGCTAATGTGCATTAATACCAAGAGAGGTCTCATTCCACGGGATATAAGATGGCTGTGGATAATTGAAGCCAACTTATTTTTATTGATGTCGTGTACGATTTGTTTTAAAAAATACCACAAAACGTTAAAATTGTAGTTGAAGACCGGTTGCAGTGGTTTAAATAAATATTGTCGGGAAATTTATCATAATTATTAGTTTAGTAATTGTGGATAATTCAACTGATTTGAATTTAACGGAAGTGTTACAACTGTTTCTATTCAGCGATTCTTCACAAACGCGTAAAACCAACAAGGATATAAATAAAAAAAGAAGTTTTGGGAAATTTTGAAAATTATTGCGAAAAAAAAACAAAACGAAATTTGCTGCGCTTGTTAGCATTTAAATAAATATTAGGCTGTAAACATTTCGGACTCAAACTGGAATCTAGAGTCCGTGTATAAAAAAAAGCATTTAATATGGATAAACATCCAGAAACGCATTCAAGGGTGAAGTAGCTTCGATAAAAGGATGAAAAAATGTTTGCAACACAATTTCTAATCTTATAGCTGATAAGCAGATTAGACGAATTTGTTCATCTTGTTAATATTAACAAATTTTAAAATGTTTGAGGTATATTTGATGACAGATGATTTGCATTTATATCTCCGCAACTGTATGGAATATTCAATACAATCTTTTTGAAGATGGTTTTTGGTGGCATCTGGTACATTAACAAATAAATTCATTTGCTTCTGACTTAATATAAAATATGCGAATTAATTATGCAAACAATGAATTTATAAGGATTTAACAAATATCGACAAACTCGTCACGTGAACGCTAGAATTCTAACTTCACGACCGCAATGTTAACTAAGCATGGTAAGATATTTAAGAATACAATAATTATTAATATGGCTAAAAATTGTTGAAATGTGAATTTTCTTTTAAAATATTGCAATTGTTGGCAATGATAAATGCGACGGAATAGAATCAAGTGTATTTTTCAAAAATAATCTCTCATCTAATTCTCAGTATCGTTATCAATAAATAACCTTATCTAATGCTATGACTGTGTATATGGTTGGCGTTCATACTCGTATATTTCAGTAAGGTGTGATTATTTAAGGAATTGAAAGGTGACAATTACATTGCAACATCAAATGGGAATGAAGGAAATTAAATATTTGTTCTACTCAAACATCCATCACTGATACGCCTGTGCGAAGATGAGGTGAGTGCCGATTGTTTATATGCGCATTAATAATTAATTTATTATGACCGCCATTTTAGTACTAACAAAATGGCACTAATCAAGGCCATTAGAGATCGTTCTCTGATTTATCAACATAATTTAAACGATGAACAAGTGGGTGTAGTGTGTGGGTTAATTGAGGCTATTGGTAATGAAGACAAGAAGAAGATTTTAGAAATATTAGAACCATGGTCGGACGAATTGAAAGATGAATATCTGTCGATAAGTTGCAAATATTTATTGGACCAAAATATTCCAATTTCTTATAACATCAGTGAGTTTGTTGGCATTTCTTTGCTTACATTGCGGTTTTATTCTCCTGATGTTGGGAAGCAACTGCAAACATGTGACAATGAAACAAACATATTGGAATACATGATGAAACATATGGACGCAATTTTGATCTGGAAAGGTCCAACGGATAAAATATTATTATATCATATCAAACAAGTAGTATTAATGGCTAATGAAGTAAAATACTTGTTTCGTTCTGAAACTGAAAAGCTGCCATGGATCAAACTAATATTTTATTGCGTACAATATATTAAATGTTGTAACAGAACTAATGATCCCTGCATATTATCAATATTTATGTCTAATGATAAATTGATTAAATATATTAAGTTGTGGAAAATCGGCTTAGAGAATATGAATTCTACAAAAATCATGCAAGATCAGAAAATACAATATATGTTGAAGAATTTTGAACACACTTATGATGACATAAGAGATTACTACAGTGTGAAAAGAATGAGAAAGTACTGCTCAGTGCGACAAAGTTTTTTGAGTAATTTAAGAATGTTGCAAGTATTTGGTGAATGTTTAAAAAATAAAAGCCAAACTCCAAATGTTTCATTACGCTTAAAAGAACGTTTGAAGTCACAATTGGGAACAGTTTACGACAACTTGACTAAGCTCAGAGACACTATATCTCACTTAACAGGAATACCAGAATGTACTCAGGATGTCATAAATGAGGTTTCCGAATTGATGGATAAATTTCTACTTCCATTAATTAACCAAGTAGTGTTACATTGGAAAAAATTATATTTTGTTTCTAATTCTGTTTCTGGTAAGCATATACATATTTCTCAATATAGCGTACAGTACCTAAGTGTTTACTTAACTTTACTTAACATATTTCTCAAGAACACCTAATTAAGACAATAAACCAAGAAATTAAAGATGCTCCAAAATTGCCATATAATGACTGCTTAAAACAATTAGAAGATGCTCTCAATAATAATAAAGAGCAAAAGGAAATTGAAATGCTACTTATGATCATATTGAATAATTTAAAAAAACAACGCAGATTGAATGCAAATTGGAAATGGTTCATGGAAATATATCCGACATTAACTGGCCTACAACTCAGAAACCATCTTGCACATGGAGATCCAATTGTGGAATTAATGGATGTGAATGAAGAGATGGCAGTCAGACACACAGCAAAAATGCTGATTAAGGAATTGTACGATGAGAGCAAAGAAAAGATCGAGAAGGTTACAAAAAGACCCGCAATTGAAATGATGCAGGATATCGATAATCAACAAATAACACGTTTTGAAGAACAAGAGAAATTGTTTCAAATTATTATTGAAGGTGATTTAGAAAAATTTAAAGACTACTTACAAAATATTAGTTCCGAATGGATTAACTGGCAGAGTTTGAATCAGAAGAATGCATTGCAATATGCTGCAGTAAACAAAAACGATAATTTAGAGCTATTTCAATTTGTTCTAGAAAAAAGTCCAAGCTATATGGAACAAATAAAAACAGATAGTAGCTTACTATTTCAAGCTTCAAACAATTTCAAAATAGCAAAGCGCATTGCCGAGTTGCATATTTGTGCATTGCTCGAGAACGACAGAACATACTTGCAACCAAATGATAATAATGATATATTGGAATTATGCAAGAAATTAATCAAAACTGAGAAAATTAACAGCTTTTGGAATGTTTGTTATTATCAAATAAGTTGTGATGATGTAGACAATCTAAAACTTATGTTAGATGAAATTTATTACTGGAAATTTCTCATAAGTTATGAAAGGAAGAATTCTTCATGGTTTCAAATAGCTTACAATTATAATGCTACAGAAGTGATGAAGTATCTTATCAACATTGGGTATACAATAAATAATTCTACTATCACCAATGAAGAAATAGTTAAATATTGTGATATTGAAAAACAGAAAGAATTGAGGAAGATTATTAAAAGTGGACAAGTATTCAAAGAAAAAGAATGTATAAAAAAATCAACAGATATGTTAGAGCAAAGTCATAATGATGACTTTAATGTCATGAATTGCTTGCATTTTGCTATCAAAAGTGGGAATCCAGAAATGGTTAAGCAAGTGTATCAATCCCTCCCAATTTTGTTATTTTCAGTGGATAATGAAGGCAATTCACCTTTAGGTGTCGCCATCAAGCAGAATTGTGTTCAGGAATTTAATATTTTAATGGAACTGGTAACTAATCATTTGTTTTACTGATTTTTTTTTGTACTTTGAAATTTGTTTTCTTCTAGGTAGTCAATAATACATTAAAACTCCCACAATTGTTTAAGACGTGGGCCATTGGAATTATTGATTTGCAGAAATCAAATATTGTTCAGAACAACAATGTCGTAATTGAAAATGTATTAACAAGCACAATAAATGCAATGGATATGAATCCCAAAGAAAAGACGGTTCAATACTGGGCAATGTATTAATGCCTCACCAGAAATTAGTGAACATGTCTAATTTATTTTTTCTAGTAAATTGGCTAAAAGCATGTTAGGATACTACAATTCAAATGAGCACTTAATTAACAGATGGAAACAAATAGCAATTAATACACTATTCCATTTTCCTGATGAATCGCTCATTGTCAAAGAGTGCATTGATATTGTTGTAGAGATATTCGACCATAAGTTGAGTGCACAACCGGAATATAATATCGCAAAACAATTAGATTCTATCTTAGATCGAGTAAGCATGTAGAGAATAATAATATTGTGTTAAATTTAAATATGATTGGTTTTAGTGCGCCAGATATTCTCATCCATCGGTTATTCTAGAGAAACTCTATATTGCATTACAAAATAAAATTGAGTATGGACACTGGAGTAAGATAATAGCACATCATGCTAAATATGTAATTGAGACATTTAGGGATAATCCTCATATTCAACTATATGCATTGTATGAATGAATCTAAATTACATGAACAAATTAATGGATAGATTATTTTAGGAAGTTAATTCACGGCCTAACTGAAAAAAAGGAAAGAGTGGATGTGAGTGTTGAAACATATCGTGTTGCAATGCAGAGGGTAATACCAAAATACTACAATGATATTGACGCCATGAAGTATTGCGTTGAATTATTTGTTGATTCTATTCTTGCGAATAACAAATATGTAAGTAGATGTAAGAGAGTAAATTGCATTTTTGTATCAATCATACATTGTATATAAATTGTTTCCATTCATTTCTTTTATTTTACAATCAGTATTTTCTGATATATTCAAGTACTACACAAGAATTTTTATTGAGAGTTGCAATGCAATAACAAACAAAAAATATCAGCAGAAAATGTTAACCTGTATGTTGTTTTTATTGACGTGATAACGTCTTTAAAATCGTTTTAGTCGGGTGACATGTCAGAGACTTGTGTCACGAGGCCTCACGAGGCCGATCGCAGGTATAACGAGAGAGAGAGAGAGACGGACCGATCTCCCGTCTCATCTCGAGCGCCCACACGAGCGGAGGCAGGCATAGCGTTCGAGTGAGTGGACCGATCTTCCGTCGCTCTCACTCTACCGGCATACAAACGAATGGAGATTTTCTCGTGCGGTTAAGTTTTCGTTGAATGTTTAACAGTAAAACAAAATGTGAAGTGCAAGTGAAGTGTTACAACAATTGCAACAAACAAAACTTATATCACCAATAAGACGTTATCACGTAAACATCTCGATCGTAAACCTACTTTACAAACAACAATTTTTTTTACAGGTATCCGCAGATTCTATAATATCAATTATAGACAACGAATTACAAACATTGGGTATTGATGACAATTCGAAAAAAAAGTTCAAGCAAATGATAGAAAAAGAAAGATACTATTTATTACATTTAATACATAAAACTAATTTCAATACAGTTGACGCACATCTTAAATGTATTGATTATAACTGGACTCAATGTCGAGATAAACATAAAGCACTAGAACGTGCAGCACAAAATATAAATGATGATGTGGAATTGTTTAAATTAATACTAAGTGAATATCTGCATTACCTTACGGAAATATCAATAAACAAATATATTAATATTCTATTACTTGCTGAAGGGAATGGAAACACACAAATTGTAATACATATTCTGCATACAATGATCAGCAAAAGTATTGCAGAAATGAATCACGATCTTAATGACTACCACTTTAAATCAGTATTATTATATGAATGGTATTATGCCGTATTTTGTGATGATGTAGATTTTTGTCGCACATTTGTAGAATTAAACTATACTGAGACACTTGAGGATGCTGAATGGAAATTAGATTATCGGATAAAGTTTGGTAATATAGCATGCATTCATGGAGCAACAAGAGTGGTAGAATATCTTATCAGCATTGGATATGATTTTAACCATTACCTTTATAATTCCATAACTCCATTAGATTTTTCAATTAAGTATGGACATAATGAAATAACACAAATGCTAATTCAGAATGGAGCAACTGTTGAGGATCTGCAAGAACTTGATGACAAAAATCAAGCACTGCTTAAATCGTATAATACTGAGAAACATGAAGAATTATGGAGGATTATAGAAAGTGGAGAAGTTGACAAATTTAATGAATATATAGAAAATACGCCAGAATTGTTTGGGCCATGTCGCTTTACAGATGGCATGAATTGCTTACATTTTGCTGTCTTAAGTGAAAATCCCGAAATGGTTAAGCAAGTGTATCAACGTCTCCCTCATTTATTAATGACCACTAATAAAAAATTCGAGACACCATTGGATATTATTGTATCGGGAAATCTCATTTCCGTACTTGATATGATAATAGATTTGGTAAGTGATACGCACCTAGCAAACAGGACAATTCGTAATAATGCTTAGTCTCACTAATTGCTATTCCGATATATTCATGTTATATTATTGTTGCAGGTTCTAAATGATCGCAAGCCAGAAATATTTGAATATTTTGTTTCTACATTATATAAATCATCTTATACTGAAACTATAATATATGCGATAACATGCGGAAAATATAACAAGTTATTAAAACTGATTGAGAAATACCCTCAGAGGATGATAGTGAATTATTGGGCAATGTATGAACATTTGAATATAGTGCTTTTAATATGATCAATATTATTATTGCTCATTTTAGTATGTTAATTAATGACATGTCAATAATCAGTTTAACTGAAGATCAATTAACGACCTGCGTTACATTAGCCGAAAACGCATTCACTGCCTTTATGAATGAGCCAAGAATATGCCAAGAATGGATTTTATTTGCAATGCGCATTTTTCTGCTTAAATCTGAAATACACGTCGACCGATATAAGCGCAATACTATTTACAAATATGTTTTGAATTATGTAAGTATGCTTTATAATTTATATTTATATAAAGTGTAATATGAATGTTATTGATTCAAGATTGCAAAATATCCTAATATTTTGAATTTTATTAATAATGAACTTGAAACATATGAAACACTTTTGAAGAAAACAGAAAGCTGGAAATGTGAAATTCTGCAAGAGTTGGCCAAATATGCAATTGATACATATCCGGAAGATAGTGATGTTCTTGAATTTGCGTTGTAAGAAGAATACATTTAATTTTCTTAAATCCTTCATAAACAAGTTTGTTTTAGCATCTTACTACATGAGTGTCGTAGAAATGAAATGGAATTAAGCATAACTTTTGATCTGCAATCATTTATCAAAACAGTATTAGAAACAAACATCCCATTTAGGAGCCGAGAAACTAAAATCAAACGCTGTGGTGCATTAGTTTGGCATTACTATACCAAGAGACAAACTGTAAGTACAATACAAATAAATTAATTATTTCATTCATGATGTTTTGAAAATTTGCAATTTAACAGACTTCTGAGAATATGGAAGAAACGATAGAATCTGAAGTAGGTAACTGGGATATTCATGAAGGTAACATGACGAACCTACTTGCTGCTATTGCAGAGCATATGCCAAATGTTAAATGCCTACATTATTTCCACAAATGCACTGCAAGAGGCATATGCAAGAGAGATGCCTCAATCCAACAGAGCTAGTTCTCTTCATTTTACCAGTTTTGTTGTTCATAAATCGTGATTGCCTTTTGAATGTTTTCATTAAGCACACAAGTTGACATACGCTACTATGCTTGCAGAATTTTAATGATAATGGTTTTCATGTGATCAATTTCGAGTGCAAACAGTTTTAACCACTTTTACGATAGTATATTTAATTATTGACTTGTGCGGCGTATCGTTTAGACAATTTATACATGGAACCAATTATATACTATATTGTCTCTTTGTTCTATTAATCTTAAAACTCAATTTGATTTGGTTGCTTTGGTTATTTTTATAATTTTTTAAATCTTTATAAAATTAATTTGAGTTCATATAATTTTCTATAATATTGTTTTAACAACCTTCAGTATGTCAATTACAAATATCTATCTTAATCACCAAGATAAGAAGTTTCTTCAGGGGTATTTTCAGTAACAACGTGTTCAGAATGTTCGGTGTTTTTATCAGTTGCTTTTAAATCTGTAAACGTTGATGGTGGCTCACCTTCATCATCACTACCTATTTAAAAAGTAAAGTTATGAAATGTAATAATAAATAATATAGATACTATTGCTTGTATATCTCTAATTTACTTTCTACATCCATGACTTCTGCAATAATTTTTTCTTTGTTCAAACAAGCTTGTTCTCGTTCAATAAAAGTCACCAAAACTTTATTTATCCTTTTCAAATTGGGTAGTAATGCAAGAATTGACACTCTATAATAAATAAATAATATTATTAGAGGAAATTAATTAATTTCTGTGTAGATTCGTAATTGAACTTTAATGGTTTTAAATTTATATTAAAAAAGTTGAGTTTTATGCTTAATATTACCTATTGGGATCAATTTCTTCCTGGTCTTCACCCAATTCCTCATCATCGTCATCTTCATCTTTCTCATCTTCTTCCCCATGGTTTGGTTTTGAATTCATATTTCCTTTTATTTAATTAGTAGTTTTTAATAAATAATGTAAGTTATTAAATCATTTTCTAGTTATTTTTATTACCTGCTACCGGATTTTCAAGAAATATAATTGTTTCTAATGCAGGCAAGCATTGCAGCTTTCTGAATTGTCTTATTTTTGTTATTTTGTTATTTCGAAGATTAAGATACTTGAGACTTGTTAAGTGTGATGTAAATCCATCCAATTTCTGAATGTTGTTGCTCCGCACATGCAGCACTTTCAAATTTGGTAATTTTGCGAGATCTCCAGATACAAAACGTGTTAAATTATTCTCAGCCTAAATTAAAACAAAAGATATTTATAATATAAAAATTAAAATGTTTCATTTAAGACAAAAAAACTTTAAAATTTTTACCATTATTTATGTTTATAATAAACATTAAATTAGCTTCATTAAATTATAAAACAAATACGTTAATAATTAGAATTTCATATAATTTTGAAAAGTAAGTAATTTATAAAATTTATTTATTCATAGTAATTAATCTTCGAAGAAAAATTTTATATTTATGTGAGATGCCCTCTGAAACATGTCAACTCAAAAAAAAATTGTAAATGGCCAAAAACGTATAATGTTTAATAAATAAATTTTTTATAAATATACATGGATTGCGTATTCAAAGTTAAAGTAATAAAAAAGTGAGTAAGATTGGTTGCATATAATGTAACAGTAAACTTGATCAAAAAGTTTGAAAGCGTATGCAGTGATTATAAACTTCGCATATAGATGGCGCCTTAGGCAAGAAAAGTTACACATTCTTATTTTTAGATAAATTATTATCATGGATGTACGCAACAATAAAGACAAATTTATTTAAAAATGTTTTAAGTTTTACCAAATAAAGCTTTTCCAGCGATTCTGGGAACTTTCCACTAACTTCAAACAAATTATTTCCACGCATTTCCAATTCTTCAAGCATTGGGACATCATCAGATGGAAAAATTATTTCGTAAATTTGATTATCTAAAAGAAAAAATTCAATTAAAGATGGCAATCATGATAACTATTTTTACAGATTTTAAAGTTTCCATTTTACTTTTTATTTATTCATTAACAAATAACAAGAATCTCATAATAAATCAATTTTTAATTTATGGTGTTACGTCATTTGACATTCCTAACCTAACATAACCTAATTTATTAAAGTTATGAAATAAAAATCTAAAACTAACAACAGAATTAACAATGTAAGAGTTTTTTTAAGAAACGTTACATTAATACATTTTTCTCACGTTCTGTTCTCAAATATTTTAAAAGAAATCCAATCCTTCATTTATGTCATATTCTCACTTTACTCAACTACTTTTCTACCCCTTCTCGGATTTCCTCCGTCGCTTCAGTTTTGACATTTTTTCTACAATTACAACCCTCGTCGTTTAAAACTTTTTCATCAACTTCCGACATCACTTTCACAATATAATATCTCCTTTGACATTTGGTAGATGAATGTAGAATAATGAAAAATCATTCAAGGTCAAAAATTAATGATTCGTCTGCCATAAAAAACTAGCAACAATCATTTTAAGAATAAAAATCTCGAAAACTTTGGCACGTTGAGAATTCAGCGTAAAACAGTTTTTCATTCAGTTTTGAATGTTCGAATACACATCGAGAATCATTAAGACTAGATGCGTAGGTAATCAATCATTTCGAAGGGTGGCAGAACTACGTCTACATGCAAAGGGTGTAAGGGGTGTGAGATAAACATGTGAGAAGCTGAAAAATATTGCAATAAATGCAACTTTTGTTTTTATATTTAATTTCAATGAGAAAAAAAACTCAAATTTTGAAATTTTCTCAAACGTAATGTTACATTTTATCAAAGATTACATCAAATTCAGAGAGTCGGGTAGCAGACGTCTTAAGACTACCTGCTCGACCCCATCTTTCATCCCCTATTTTACATCGCACCACATATAACATAAAAACACGTAAAAAAAATAAAGTTTAAATTTTGGGGTGTTTCTTGGGTATTTTTTGCTAGATTCATGTAATCGATCGACCTATTGATGAATGGGTGAGTTTTTCTTAATTTTATTGATTTATTTCTTTAATTTCATTTTTTATTCACAATAAAAAGCAATATTTTCATTTTTTTTTTTTAATTTTGCAAAAATTATACTTTAAAGATTTTTGAGCAGTTTGTGTTTTTGTTAGGAAAAGATCCCAATCAAAAAATGTTATTTCGATTATATTTTTACACCTTTTACCTTTTTCGACTTATAAATCGTGGGTGTTTCTGAGCTTTTCACATTTTTCGTCCAGATGTTTTAATCCTTTGTACAAACAAATCCAAAACTGTATCAAAAACATTTTGTTGTCATTTCAAAACTCAAACCAACAGATTTATATCAAGGCAAAATAAAAGAACAGCTGAATTTCACAACCCTTAAAACCCAACGTAATATAAAACTAAAAAAAAATGTTTTAATGTTTTTCATCTACCCTCGGATACAGTTTTAACACTTTTATGCTCCAAAACCGTTGCGTTGCATTTAATTGTGCACAGCGATTCGATTTGCATATTAAACCGGGTGTGGGGAGAGAGATGCTCGCTGATCACAGCTAATGGTGTCGTCGCGATGGCGTGAAACCGATAAAAAATAGTGCCGCACAAAAACGCACCATTAAGACTCCGAATCTCTGAATGTGAATCTGTGTGTGACGTTGAAAATAAAAATAAGGGCGACGCGCTTACATTTACACACACCGCTTGATTTAAATAATTCGTATGTTTGTGGTAATGATGCAAAGCGCATGCAAAAAGGGTTGCCTGTATGCACGCATACTTAGTTGACTCTTTTGAGGTTACGTGAGGGAAAGATCCGAAAGAGAAAAGCGAAAAACATGTGCGAATGTGACAGACCGGGTGTGGAATTGGAATAATAAATGATTCGAGGAATAAAGAATAAGGGTTGCGTCAAGTATGATCGGAAAAAATTTTGATTCCGAGAAGAATGGAATATGTACGGGATGATGAAGGAAGCACAAAGAAAAGGGTTGAGTATTTTATTTTTGTTATAATCATTTATTTTCATTTTGTATCAGTTGAATGATTAATTTTTAGGCAAATTGTTGATGTGAAAATGTGCAAAAATATTTCAACTCATGAAATATTTTTAAAATTAATTTTTTATGTTTTTACAAGATAAAACGTGGAAATTAGACAAAAATTTCAAAAATTTAAAAATTTTAATTTGCTTCTTAAAATTAAAGATAAATCAATTACTTTGAATGTTAGATTAATTTAAGTAACGTGTGAATTATTATTATTAACAAAATTTAATTTAAATTGAACCCTTTTTAATATAAAAACATTTTTCCCATAAAAATCAGCAAACTTTTTTCATAATCGATTATAAAATTTTTTAATTCATCGTAGAACTTCACATTCCCATGAAATTCAAAATATCTGAAAATATACGATTTGCAATCATCAATCATCAATCAAATGAAAAATTCAGCGCCAGGTAAAAAAGGAATCGATTAAAATTTTGAGTACTTGAGTGTTAAATGTTAAAAAACTGTTACCCGTTTCGATAATTCGATTAACTCGACGTGTTGTGAAAACTTCCATCCATCCATATGTACCTGATGAGATGATCAATCATTCACACATCAACATGCTTGAATCCATCCAAAATCTCAATTTTTTTTTCGAAAAAACATATTTTTACTTATTCTACGGGATAATTTTTGTCTTTGATCTTAGTTTTCTCGTTTAATCGTTTTTTTTTTAATTTTTATGTATTGGGTTGGTTTGCAGAGGGTTGTTGCCCCCTTTTTGAGTCTTCGGATGTAATCGTAGAGTGTAAGAAAGCGTCTTGAGGGGTAGAGATCGAAATGAAAGATGATGGTAGAATAAGCGTGTAAAAAAGCAGTTAAAAAACGCGTCTGTGGCTGTGGGCTTTATAAAAAGCTTGAAAAATTCTAGTCGTAGAATAGGAAAGGGGAAAACATCATTAGGCAAAATAATAAAAAATATTCCGGCGTAGGTAGTTGCAATGTGTTCGATGTGAATACGAAAATATAAAAATAGTTTCCGGTTACACGCCGAGTTTGGTGTGCACCCTTGCACTCAGCAGCAGTTTTTTATTCATTTTATTATTATTTTCTTTGTATAAATTTTAATTAGAGAATATTATTATGAAATTTTTAAAATGATGGTTTTGGAAGTGAGAAAATATACAAAACTTTCAAAACATAAAAAATTTATAATTTTTTGTTATAAAATATATTTTGTTTATCTTGCAAAGTATTCAAAATTAAACTTGGAAATTTGGTGAAAATATGTATTAGTCAATGATCAAATGTTGTATCTATTTTTGATGAAGTTGTATTCAAGAGTTTTTGAACAAAATGCATAAATTTGTTTACAATAAAAGTGGAATATCTGAGAATATACTAAACGCACCGTATTAGTACATATACTGTATTAAAGAGAAATTAATTCCTCATTATACCCTTAGAGTGGTTTTTAAATAATGGTAAAAGTACTTTTGTCACGGCTGCCCGTGTTTAAAGTACCATTTTTGTGTCTAAAACCATTGAAAAACTAGCGCTTTACAAGTGAAAGTAGAAAAAGTAGATTTGTTTGTGGCTCTAATAAATGTAAAATATCATTTCCACAAAAAAAATTACTAAAAAAATAAAAGTGTCAAATGACGAAAACATAATTCCCTTTTGATGTAAAAAAGGTTTAACAGTTTGAGTTTAAAAATTTGTAATTCATCTATAATATAAAAATAAATCGCAAAATCTGTTGGCAAGCGCATAACTCAACAACGCCATGACCAATTTGGCCAATTCTTTTTTTAAAATGTTCGTTAAAATCCAAGGATGGTTTTTACAGCGAGAAAAGTTTGAATAATTGCCGGCAAAACCCTAAAGACAGCCTTTTTCTACAGGATAAAAGTTGGCATTGAGATTCAATCATAGTTATAGTTAAAGAGTTGAATCCTAGATGGCGCGCTGAAGTATATTACCAGCTATTCTTTATATACCTAATTAATTTCTTTAAAATAAAATAGCAAATCTTATTGATAGAATTGACACATATTATGTCTAGACTCTTGTTCTAAAATGAATTATGTTACAACACTACCGGGACGAAGATTTGTCATAACCTCAAACTGCACAGACGTACAGTATCCATTTTTAAAATTATCCAAATGCTCAACAAAAATCTTAAAATAAATATTAAATAACTTACAATTGAGGTTTAAATATCTAAGTTCCGGTTGAATCACACCGATTGTATCGCAAATCCGATTTCTAGCCAACGATAAATTCTATAAAATAAAATAAATAAAATCGTTATTATCATTAATAAATCGTATTATTTTAGCTTTAAATTTCGATTTAAATATTAGTTACCTGTAGGTAGCACATGGGCTTCAACGCGCAACTATCAAGAAAATTCCTCTGTGCGAATAATTGCATCAAAAATGGCATGCCAGCGATGACCTGCAGCGCGGATGTCTGCAGATAATTTCCGCTCACATCCACATAGATCACATGGCGAAAGTTTAACAATGTGCGAATGTCTGTTAACTTCCTATGTAATAATTAATATAATTAAAATAATAATTTAAATATTGAATAAAAGAATATGCAGTGGAATCTCGGTAATCCGAACCCATCTTAATCTGGCACACCTTGTAATCCGACATGGTCATATCCCTACTATAATATTATAAATGCAAAAGTCCTGATGTTTGTTACACTTTCACGCAAAAACTACTTAAACGATCATCATGAAAATTTGTACACATATTCTTAGTGGTCCCCGAATGGTTATAGGCTACTTTTTATTTAATAAAAAATATTTTTGAAATATACATTCTTTCTATCAATCCGTTTCAACTATGTATAATGATTTCTAATATTTATTTGATGGATTCAACGCGAGCGAAGCCGTAGGTTAAAGCTACTGCCTTATATTTGTACTTTAGGATTTGTAATTTGTCGGATTACAAGGTACTCTTTGTAAAAAGACTGTAAGAGGTCTTAGGCAGTCCTCTATAATCCGACAAATTCGCTATACTGACACAGCCCTGCAAAGTGATTGTCGGATTACCGAAGTTCCACTGTAGTTTGATATTGACTACTTAAATACGTTTAATATTAACGGTGTTGGTTATTGTTTTACTTACTGATCACACGCTGTGAATTGTAAATAAGCATATCGCATGCAGGATTCGTCCTTGCCCAAAGTGTGAAGACATTTGGATGCTTCGTCGAATGTAAGGATTTTATCTTGGATGAATTCGTCGGGTTCATCTTCAGGTTTCACTTTCCTAAAACAATTATAAACGGTTTTTTTTATTATTTGTTTAAATTATTTATTAATTATTTGATGGAAATAGATATTAAATCTTATTTTCAACGTTTAGAGCTATAAGATAGAGAAACATGCAGAAAAAATATTTAAAAACTAAAGAAAATAATCTACATATATTATAAAAATGAATAAAAAAATGTGTTGGTAAGCGCATAACTCAACAACGACTGGATCAATTTATCCTATTCTTTTTTTAAAATGTTTGTTAAAGACCAAGGATGGTTTTTACAGCGAGAAAAATTTGAATAATTGCCGGGAAAACCCTAAAAACAGCCCTTTTCTAAAGAATAAAAGTTGGCATTGAGATTCAATCATAGTTATAGTTAAATAGTTGAATCCGAGATGGCGCGCTGAAGTGCATTATTAGCAATTCTTTATATAATTAATTTCTATAAAATAAAATTGCGAATTTTATTGATAGAATTGACATATACTACGTTAAGAACAAGAGAGTAAAAACAAATTACATTTTTATTAAACACTACCAGTACGAAGTCGCAGTCTAAAGTATTTAATAAACATTACCTCTTTTTATTTAAAAACTGCACTTCTTCAACTTGATCATCACTAATCGACACTTCATCACTTGATTCAGACATTTTTATTATACTTGACTGTCAAAAGTGAAAATCACCTCTGAATAAAACAATAAAACTCTATATAAAAATCAAATTACCTAATTTAAACAAAAATAAACAATACAAACACGTTATAAACAAATAATGCATGTTTCCCACGAATAAAATTTAAAAAACTTTTACTCATCACTAAACTTTTTTGTACTGCAACTAAACGCATTATTTCTACCCTAATTCTTTACAAAAATAATCTCATAAAAGAGTAAAGATGTCATTCAACCCTTTTAGGTATTCTCCACACTTTATTTTTTCCTCTATCTATTCTAATGTGTCTTCCTCATGTCTGAAAGCTTCTCCGCTGAGAATGCCATATTTTCATATTCATAGGAAGTAGGTACTCTATTCTCTGTGTACGTAAGACGGAATAATAAAAAAATAGACACGTTTTTATGAATAAAATATGTTTGTCGAGATGAGAATGACGCACCAGTTACATTTTTAGTTCCACTTTGAATTACCAGAAGGGTGAAACGAGTATAAATACACGGAATATAAAGTGAGGGTGAATTGTAACTCACGAAAGAGTTGAAAGTTAAAAATATTACTTAATAAGACTCGCGTTTCTTTTTTTTTTTTTTTTTTTTTTTAGTTTTGTGGTTTGTGTTGTGTCTCTTAGTTGTAGCTCTATCATAATCATACGGCGCTATAAATCTTTTCGGTGAGGTTATTTTAAGTCTTATTAAGAAAATGTGTTTCCTAAAGTTCTTCGCTTGTTCCTGAAAGTCTCGAAAACTAATTGAACGAGTTAAAGTGGAACAGGCTGGATTAGTGGAAGATACCAGTAATAATTGAATGTTGAGTTGAATCTGGAATATCATGTGAAGCAGGAAGAATGAATATCTACAGAGGAAACACACACTTAAGGAGTGAATTGAATACTTAAGCTTCATACTGGATTAAAACAGATTTTATAGTATTACTTAATAAAAAAATAAATTTTAATTTACCGTTTTTGATTTTAATTTTAAAAAATAGCGATTTGGTCAAATGATTTTTAATTTTAATTTAAAATAATGAAAAATGGTTATAATATAATATAGCGCCATCTCGATCTGAGTTGTTTAAATATAACTATATAAAAAACTTTATTTAAACTTTAATGTTTTATTTAACACCCTGTATGACAATTTTTTGCAACAAAAAGTAGTCTATGTTATTCTCCTTGATTTTATGTATCTCTCTACCAAAATTTATCAAAATTGGTTGAGTGGTTTGGTCGTGAAAACGTAACAAATATACAAAAACATAAAAAAATTAATAAAATACATTTACATTTATAATATTCGTTTGTAATCTTTGATTTTAAAGTTATTTTGATGAGAAAATCATCAAAATCACTTTCCTGTCATTGTTATTTCAAAAATACAAAAAATTATTTGAAAAAAATGGCTTCAAGCAAATAAGTAGAAAAATCTGTAAGACATAAAATTTAATGACTTCATGCTTTCACCTACGTGCTTTATTCTGTGTTTATTCAATGTTCTTTAAATGTCACAATTTTTATAAAAATTAAAACCAATTATTTGATTAAATTAATTAATTAAATAAAAATCGCATAAAAATGTAAGTTTTTAATTTATAAAACATTAATTTAAAATTCTTTGGTTTTGTTTGTTTATTTTTGAGCTTCCAACTTTCAAAACACCGAAAATACACAAACCGTGTGAAAGTCACAAATTAAGACGGGAGTGATTAAAAAATTAGGAAACTGAACCCTCGTTTTACACGCAAAACAAAAAAAAAAACTAAAAAAGCTTAAAAAGCTTAAAAAACATGTTTTATTAGTATTTCCGTAGGAGTGAAAGTGAGGGTGGCAAAATCAGTCCCTTTAAATCCATTTAAACTCGGTAGAACGCATGAGAAACTTTTTTTCAACTCAAAATTGTTTTTTTTTTGGTTTGTTTTCGTGTTTTTAGCATGAGAATGTTTGGAAATTCAAAATTCCAGAATCGTGTCAAACACTTGTCAAACAGGTTAAAACCTATTTTTTAAGATTTAATATACTAATTAAAAAAAAACAATAAAAATGGACCAATTTCACTAATTTTAATTTTAAAATATTTATTGAAATTTATAGAAACTCCAAAAAATAAGAAAATATTAATGAATTGCAAGAGTCACAGTTTTAACGCAAACCAACTTTCATCCCTTATTTTACACCCTTCAAGCAATATTTTTGCAACAAAAAGCATCCTATTTTCTTTTCCTTTATCAAAACTATCTCCACACCAAAATTTAACAAAATTCCTTGAATAGTTTCAGAGTAAAAGCGTAACAAACAAACAAAAAAAACCACATATCCGCGTTTAAAATATCACCTATCATGAAAAAAATTGATTAACAAACCAAAGTTCAACGAAACTACTCAGTAATCAAAAATCTATTAAAAATATTGACTTAAAATTTCGTCAAATCATCAGCGAATTACGATAAAAATCTAATAATCTCTTGTAATACAAATAAACTTATCCAATAGCAATTATTTATTGAATAGACCGAAGAGTATTGCTCTTGAAATATTCTAAATTAAACTCCTGAGGTCGCTGAATCCTAATCAGCGATCACAATAACGAATCGCAATAACAAATGCGCGCATCACAGCGAAAAGCGATCTGGAACAAGTCGTAATTCATCGCATCATCTTCAATCGACTATTGAGCGAAGAATTTTCTTGTCTTATGAAAAGAGGAATGCATAATGCGGCGGAGGTATTTGTTTGTGTGCGTGTCGGAATAATCGAGAGAATCGTAATTGTGAGGATGAGGAAAAAATGTCGAAAAGCAAGAGAATCGAGATTATGAGAAGACGATGATTAAGCAGAAGTCTCTTCTCGACTCCGCAGCGTCGTCGATGCTTTCCGATAAAAGTCATACCCGCCGCTGAGTGTGCGCCCCGACGATGAATAAACAAAATATTTTAAACGAACATGATATTACGATAATGAGCAAGAACTAGAGGAAAAAACAAAGCGGAAAAAATGTCTGTGGAATATTTTAACAAAGGATGATTTTTTTCTTCTTCTTCGTTTTTTTTTTATTCTTGAGTGTAATGGAGGAAAAAATACGCAGCTGTCAAAGGCTTTGTTGATTTTTTCAAAAGTTTTCAATGTTGAAAAAATTAAATTTACATTTGACTTGAAACAGATGAATTTGTTTTTATTGTGGAAGGGTTGGATGCGTGAAAAAATGATGGTGTATGTTTGTCTGAAACGCTTCCGGTTTTGGAGTTACATTGACTTAAGTTAAGAGCGATTATAAATGACTTTTCAACGCTTTCAACAACTGTTGGAAGTTTTTCTTTGGATGAATTTGTAGCTTCAATTTCAAAACGCGATAAATATTTTTCTGTTTATGATATAATAATGTATGATATATCAAATTAAAGATAATTTTATTGACTTTTATATAGAGTAGATTTATATTATTTCTATAGTTTATATTATTTGTTATTAATTATTTAATGAAACTTTACGTATTTTTTATGCAAACAAATTTTTATTATAAAAATATTAATAACTTTTAAACTAATAGAATTATCGCGGTGTTTTAAAAATACGTTGATGTGGAATTAAATTATTTAACTATAGAACTTTAGTTTATACAATTTGAACACATAATACAAAAGTTATAAAAGAATTACTTTCGAAATTAATGTTAAAGTAGGATGTATATAATTATGTCAAAATTAACACTGAATAACTTTTAAATAATTTAAATATTTTTAAAGTTTTTTAGTGTAAATAATAAATAATTTAATTGTCTTTCAGAATATATGCAAATATTTGCTGTATCTTTAGAAGTTGCAGAGTTATTTAATATTTTGTAAAAAAATTCAATTCGCAAAATTTAAAAAAAATATTTTTTTATTTTTATTTTTGTATTTTTATAAGAATTAGACATCATATAAAACTAAAAAAAATAACTTACATTATTTATGTTAATAATCTATTATATTTACTAATTATATTTCTAATATTATAATTATTATTAATTAAAAACAATGAAATAAAATCTAAAACAAACTTAAACTTAGATTTCTTTTCTGAAATACTTTTAATACTTAATGAATACATGTGTAGTCATGAGAAGAGTGTTCTTAAGCATGTAGCTAATTACCATAATCACTAATTAACGTCGGATTTGATCGGTTTATGACATTTCGGTCGTTTTGTCGACGTGCGCTTTCTTGTGTTACGCTGTATCTGTGTTACGCTCGTTTGATTAGTCGATTGTCGATTGTCGATCGAGGAGCTAGATTTTTCTCAAAAATCAAATAAAATCCACCATAAAACGTATCAAATGTTTATTACCACCAGCTTCCATGCGGCTTTCAATCGGCTGCGTTTCCCAATCTCAATTAATTAATGCGTGCCGTTTGTTTCCGAAACATTTGTTTACTAGGCTTCGAAGAAGTCATAAAAACGCACAAAAATGTGACAAGCAACTCGTAGATGCACAAAAATATTTTAGTTTATGGTTTTTTCAATGATAATGATGATGAATTTTGGTTGATTTAAGCCAGAGAGAAAAGTTTTGGAAATTTTTGAAAACATGTTTTAGAAAATTGTTGATAACTTTTATTGTAATAACAATAAAATTTTGAAACAAAGTTTATTTAATAGATAAATAAATTGTGCATAATATTATGTTTATATTATTAATAAGTGATTATTTGTTTATTTATTATTATACGTTAAAGTCAAAAATAATTTTCAGTTTTTTTTCAGAATTTTTAGCAAATTTTATATTTCAGTAAAAATCGTATAACTCAATCAGTTTTTGAAAATTATTTATTATTTTTGTTTGCTTTTATAGTTAAATAAATTGTACATAAAATAGTTTTTATAGTAATCAGATATTAATTTTAGTTTGTTCATAATTTAAACTCAAACTTTTTTAGATCCTAAAAGTTAAAATTTTGAAATGTTTTACAAATTTATTAATAACTTTAACAATTTCCACCCAAAATAAACAAATCATACATCAAATTAAAGCCAATTA